ATAGGAGCAGACAGTGGCATGGAGGGGAGGGAGCAGGGCCTGTGTGCTGACCTTAATATTTTAAGGTCAGGATAGATGGGAGATTAGCAAGATTCAGTGCAAGGGAAAGATTCTGTTGTCTTGGAGACAGACCCTTCTCTTGTGTAAAGACCTGCCTCCACCCCGGTCACTGTTACATACTTAAAGTTCAGGAATTATTCTCAAACTACTATTCACTCCTCCCAAGGTTTTCTTTGCTCTTTCCTCACTGATTTACCTTCACATCTACTCAGACTCTCCAGTAGCCTCTTGTAAGAGGTTTTATCAAAAGCCATATATTCATGACCTGCTCAGTTCTAAGTTTCTTCTGTGCTGGACAATATGCGTGGTACAAAACACTTGGTGATGTGGTGGAGCCTACTGTTTACAGAGAATAGAGTCCACCACCCACCCTCCTGAGCTCATTAAATCCAAACCCAAGGACAGCCTTGAACCAAAGTCTTCAGTCTGTGCCAGAGCCTCAAAGAAGTTCAGATCCAGCTTTATACTTCACAGCTCTGGCACCAGAGCCAAGACAACACCCCTTTTCCCCTGAACCTCCGTGGTAAAACCCTGATCCAACATTTCCACACGGTGCCACCTCTTGTGTCCCTGGCTGGACACAAACTCTGAGACTGCAGCTAAATGCGAGCTTTTGGTGAACTGGTCACCCTGATTACCCCTCCATACAGCTCCTTGCAAGCCATTGGGAGGGGTCTGAAGAGAACATGTGTAGCTGAAGCACTTGCTGTAGTAAGATGATTGTTAAGCTGAGTCTTGGAAGTGATTTCTGGAAGCTGAAGGAATAAATTTCATGGAGATTTGCCTTCCTCAACAAGTAACTGTAGAAGTACATGAAGCTATTGAAAAAACAGTCCTGAAACTCATTGAGGGGGGAATTGGCAAAAAAGAACTTTAAAACAGGTCTTTAACAGCAGCATAAAACTTTTAAGAGTTGAACATCACGCACTTGTAAAAGCAGAAGGTCTAGGTCTGCTGCGCAGGTGTCAGGAGTAATTATTTCCAGTTACTTATTGAGAAACACTTCAGATGTTTTGACTGCAAAGTGTAAAGGGCTTTGCCAGAAAACTCCAACATTGAAGAGGTGGAGGGAGAGGTAGGAAAAAGAGACACAGCAGAAATCAGAGAAAACGCACCACACATTTACATTCTAGTGAACCAGTTGCCGTTTTGACTGTTTTGTAGCCTGCCAAGACTGGTGACCTTAAGGGTCTGCCTTGAGTCCACTGAAGCCAAGGAGAACCTTGCGTCCAGCAGATAGTAAGCCAAGTTATAAAAACATGGTTTAATTTGATAGTCATCCTCACATTTGCAGCTGGATTCAGAAGTGGCCAGTGCTCACTGCCTGGTCAGCTCTGGAGTCGCTCAAATCTGGAGTCTTGGCTCTGAAATCACTGACACTCCTGGTTTATCTGTTTGTTATTAGGTGCTGCAAAGTGAAGTTCACCATTTCCAGAATCCTGGAAGATAGACCTGGAAGGTCCTAGAGAAGCCAAATACGAGCCCAAACCCCTCTCCAGAACCTGCAGCTCTCTGTCCCATTGTCTCACTGCCTTCACCATTAAAAGTTTCTCATAACAACCTGGAAGTCCCTTGTCAGGGTGCAACCCCACCACCTTATCCACATAGACGTGGGGAACAGGCAGCTCCTTTCCTTACAGCACTAGCCTTACACCCAAAGCCTATTACAATGACCTTATTAAACATCCTCAATGCTGCGCCAAATCATGGCTGCCTCTTTTTCTCAAATCAAACAAGAGAGAGGATAACCAACAACCCTGAGATCCCACGAGTGGGGTAGCTTACTTACCCAGATGACTAAGGGCTTCTTTATCCCATGGCCAAGTGGCAGCACCAGCCAACTCTTCCCTCACTGAACTGGCGAAGTAAACGTTGAGGAAGTGGGTGCTGTTTAGCTGCAGCGCCTCCTTCAGCTCCTTCACGCTCATGTATGCCCTGCAAGGACAAGAGAGAGGAGATAGTCACCATAGACTTCAACAGACTGAAGAGGAAAAGCAGGAGCCACCTGCAGACACCCTGGAAAGGGTGCAGCAGACCTGGAGACACCATCCTCAACTCTCAGAAGCCAACATTCTTCTGAAAGGTGCAAGTTCTGTTAGTGAGGGGTTTGGGTGGGGGGCAGTCATGCAAATCTGAAGAAGTTTTGCTAATTACAGTAGCTTTGTTAATGAGTTCTACTCTTAGAGAAGGTTTTCCAACAACAGGGACAGAAGAAACCCCAGAGAATAGGATAAAAGGAGACAAAGTGGGGGGAGAAGCAATGAGAGAAGAAAGGAAATGCAGAGGTCAGTCCCGCTAGGGAAAAGAGAAGGGACTTAGCATCAGAAAAGCAGAATTTGAGCCAGGGGGGGAAAGTGAGTTTTCCTCAAGGTGTGAGGAGAGAGAAAGGAATCCAGAATTCCAGCTGGTTCCAACAAGGGTTTTCAGGGGTCATCCCTGATACAGGTCAAGGCAGGAATGGACACCAAACCTTATTCTCGGGAATACAGAGAGTTTGCCAGCTGGGGCCAAGAAGTCTCTTCTCCAGCTTCTCTAGTCTGTCTGGAGAAGCTCACAGCCATGGTCCTACACTCTGTCCTTTTCCCCAGGACAACCAGTATGCCAGAGGTGGTAATGCATGGTAAGAACAAGGGATCCCTGCAGAGCATAGGCACGTAACACATCAGGAAACATGCTGCCTCATCCCCATCCCTGTGTATTGCATAAGGAAGAGCATGATCAAAAGGTATCTCAGAATTTACTCCAAGAAATCTCTCTTCCAGCTCTGCTCAAAACAGTCCTTGGAGAAGAAAGCTGCCTGGGTCCCCCCAGCACTGAGCAAACATCAGGGCCTTCTTCACATAAATCTGTTTCTCTGCATATGATCTAAATCCTCTCTGAGAGGAGGTCTGGGATGTCTGCAGGATCCATGGCATTGAATCACAGGAGCTCCCAAAATAAGCTTAACGGCAAAGGAGGACATCTCTGGAGACAGATCCACTGAACGACATGTTTAGTGGGGAAAGCCTCCTGACAGCACTGCTGGCTGTCTTTCCTCCCATCTCCAGACCTGGGAATAGAGAGTTGCAGGAGCAGAAAAAATACGAGAATGGGGATATCCAAGACATCTATTTCTAAAGGGCATGGGAAGGTAATGGGCTGGGAGAGGTGGGTAGGCAATAGGCATTGCAGCAGAGCAGTAACACCTGTGGGTATGTCTGGGTGTCCACAAAATGATCCTCACAACATGACATGCCTCTCAGCACTTGGAGGAAAAAAACCCACAAACCATCAGTCAGGAAATTTAGGTTTCACTCTCCCCTCTGTGTGGTTGTTTCTGCATAGGTCAGAGGTCTATGTTGCGTTCACCAGTATACCAACGGTCCCAGCACCGATCTTTAGGGAGTTCATGTCCTCGGCTATGTAAAACAATCAGGGTCTAACTTAATAATTCCAATAATCATAGCAGTGGGATTTTAGGGCCTTGGACTGTGCTGCAAATGCCAGATACTTTTAAATCAAGTACTACCATTTCCACCATCAGTGCCATTAACCTCATGGGCTGAGACAGCATTAGGACAGGTAGCCCTAGAAGACATCGTCTTTAAGTCTTCAAGTCTTCAAAATCTGAGGACCCTGACCCACAGTTTGTGAAGCCATTCATTAAAAAGATTCTAAGCAGGGAAAAAAACTGATGGAAAGGCTTCAAATACATCACTGTGGAATGATGATGGAAATGCACCATTGTGGAAATATGTCATAAGAATGACTAAACCTGCAGCACAAAGCCAACAGCAACATTAAGGTGATGGAAGGCATTTCACTTATTCCCATGCTTTCAGGAGCAATTGGAGATTTCTGAGCTGCACGGAGAGGTTATGAAGGGAGTGTGATCATTTCTTTACACTGGACTAGCCATAGAGGCACACCAGCTATATTTGAACAAGCAGCTTCTGTAAAGGTGGTGTCCATTAGGGCATTCCTCACTACATTGAATTATGGAAGGACAAAAAGCTGAGCATGGACTAGGAGGGAAAAGGCATGTTCTCATCAGAGATGTGAAGTGAGAAGGGAAACCGATGAGAGGTGTGCAAATACACTGTTTGAGATGGCAAGATCCCTAGTCAAGTTATTATACCAACAGACTTGTTTAGAAAGAGAGAGGTTGCTACAGCAAATGGAAGAGGAGGAGGAAAAAATGAAAAAATAGAGGAACAGGATTCCAGAAGTAGACTAGAGTAGGGTGGCACATGGAGCAGAGCTCGGTAAACCCAAAGGTGGTCACTTCCCTGGATCTGAAACAGCATAAACTTGGGTCAGCCATTGCTGATTTGGGAAGTCTCAGATAATCAGGATCTGCTGACTACCTGTCCCCTACCAGTCAGCCCCAATAGGCCATCCTGGGCTGGAGACATCTCTCCCACCTTCCCAGTAACAAAGCAGCTCTGAAACTTCAGCCACTTCAGAAAATCTTGGCTGGACTATATGGCAGCATTTAATGGTGAGATGAGATGACCAGCTTGTCTTCACCAGGCCCCAAGATCTCCCACCACAAAGCAGCATTCCCAGAACACTTTCCCCAGCCACATCAGCTTGCGGAGAGAAAACTCTCCCAACCGGAAACAGCAAATTAGGAGAACATGATCTCTTCTCTGTGATGTCTCGCCTGAGCATCCCAGACACGCGCCACGCTGACGCCATCCCTTCAACCCAACCAAGACAGGAGCAGGCTGGGAGGAATAGATAGGGAAAAGAATAAATAAACCTGAAGGACATATTTGTGGCATGACTCTGAAGGAAGAGAAGCAAAAAATTCATAGAAATAGAGCATAAAGGAGGGGGAAGGGGGAGAGAAAGCCTCCTTCATGCACCAGAGCTGCTCGGGGGACACAGACTTAAAAATAACGTTGATTCCTGACCTATGATATCTTGGAAAAATAGCCCCAAGCCCTTCCAGGCTGTTTTTTCCTCTCTGCTGGAGACATGATGTTTTTCTGGCTGTCGCCTGATGTTCCCTTGACACTAGCAACATTTTTTGTCAACCCTTCATTATAAATAACTAATTTCCTCCATTGAGAGATTTGGATGGTTCAGGACTGTGTCAGGGGTAGGGGGACCCATTCCAGCACTGAGATGCTCAGATGGATGGAAAAGGAGAAGAAAGGACCCCAGTTTCACCCACTATGGCATGGAAAGCATAAATATCTCCCTGTTAGTGTCCCTAAAGACATGACCAAGATCAAAACAACTCTAGAATGGGCAACTCCGATTCCTCTCAATCCACATTTCCCACTGGCATCCTTAGCTTAGACAAGGAGCATGTAACTGGCGTCTTCGCCTGTCACTTACTGCCAAGGTCATGCTCTCCCTCTTCTTCAGTGCTTCTGTGATTTTCCCAGGGGGAAGGCAGAGCAGCCTTTGGTCTCCACAAGCAGCCTAAATGACAGCCCTCTCCTCTGCTCCCCAAATAACTTCTCAATGCCTACAAGACCAAAGTATTCCAAACTAGATGGTATTTACATCAGGGTGGGCAATGCAAGCCAACGCACAAACACAAGGAAGTCCGGAAGGACACATGAAGGCACAGCTATCAGGTAAGCAGCAAAAAACCCAAAAAAACCAACCCCAGAGAATAGGGTAGAGGATAGAAGAGAGGCAAAGAAGGGCTGTCAGGTTTTCCAGATTCAAAGCAAATGTTTTTCCAAGAGCATCCAAAACTCATTGGTGAGCAGCTAGCTGCATGGTAATACTGCCTTGACCTGGGGAGTATTTGCAACCCTAGGAGAGCGGAGCTTGCAAGAAGAGTTTAGGCAACAGTAGACAGTGACCAGGGACGGGAGAGCTATGGACTGCCATTATTAGAAATCAGCATGGGCATGAACACCATCTGAAATGACGGTATTTGAGGGAACATGTTCAGATATGAGCGCCTCCCTTGTGATGGTACTGTCCTGTGGTACTGTTGACTTAAAGTTCTGACGAATGACAGTAGCTGACAATCTGACTCTTAAGGTAGGCTTAGGTACCACACTGCATACTGTTTTACTTGTGGGACTCATTGTTGGCAGAAAGCGAGATGAGGAAGAAGCCTGCTCTACAGCAGCACGGTGGAGCCACACTGATGCTTGTGTGGTCCTGGTGCTGGGTTAGGAGCACACAACTCTGTATGGGACTTAATGATGTTCTGTCATTGTGTGACATTTCAAACTACTGAAAAAAGGAAAGGAAGATGAAGTATGGCAGCTTCAGTGATTATGTCACCATAGAACGGTGGAATTGGAGACTCCTAATGCAGGCAGAAAGGATCTCCACAGGTCATCTAGTCTGACTCCTTTGTTTAAAACAAGTCTAATTAAACCAGGTTGCTCAAGGCCATGTCCAGCTGAGACCTGAACAGCTCTGAAGACAGAGGTTTTGCAAATACTCTTGGCAACCTATTCCAGTATTTAACCATCCTCATGGTAAAAAAAAAAAAATCCTAAAGTCTAATCCAAATTTCTCATATTCCAACTTGTGTCTATTGCTGCCTGTCCTATCATCATGCATCTCTTCTAAGAGTCCTGCTCCATCTTTTCTGTGTCACCCCATTACATCAAATGGGAAAGCCATCAAATGACTACATCTTTGCATGGAAAACTCTTACTGCAGTAGACCTTACCACATTAAGGTCTAAAGACCCAAAGCTTCCTTTCTGATCCGTTGAAAAATCATGCTCTACCCACAATCCCAGGCCTCCCTGGAGAACTCTCACAGCCCTTTCTCATGGTTTTCCTTGGACAATTTTGTCCTAGCCCATGGGGCAGACAGCATCTTTGTACTTGTGGATGTAAGTCAAGCTCTGGGCTGGCTTGGTCAAAGAAGACTTGACATACTCTGGAGAGACAGAGCTGTTGCTGCTTTTCAAGGCAGCAATTTCTGGCAGCTACAACAGGACTACTGCTGGTGCACAGGTGGGA